ATGAGGAGAGAGAAGTGGATGATGAGAGGATGAGAAGAGTGGGAGGGCGATGACAGGATGAGGAGAAAGAAAGGGAAGATGAGAGGATGAGGAGGGAGAAGTGGACGATGAGAGAAAGGAGGGCGAAGTGGACGAGGAAAGGGCGAGGGGAGTGAGGATGATGAGAGGATGAGGAGAGTCGAGCGGATGGGGAGGGTGAAAAGGGAGGATGAGAGGATGAGGACAGTGAAGATCACAATGAGAGGATGAGGGGAGTGAAGGCAAGAGGAGAAGAAAGGGGATGATGAGAGGATGAGGAGAAAGAAGAGGACGATGAGAGAATGAAGAGAAGGTGAAGGAGAAAATGAGGAGAGTGAAGTGGAGGATGGGGGGAAGGGGGGAGTGAATTGGACGATGAGAGGGTGAGGAGAGAGAAGTGGATGAAGAGAGTGAAGGTGTGATGAGAGGGTGAGGAGAAAGAAGGGGATGAGGAGAGTGTAGGGAAGATGAAAGGAACGGTAAAGTGAAGTGGACGATGACAAGATGAGGAGAGTGAAGGGGATGATGAGAGGATGAGGAGAGCGAAGGAGAGAATGAGGAAAGGTAAGTGGACAATGACAGGATGAGGAGAGTGAAGGAGCCGATGAGAGGGTTAGGAGAAAGAGGATGAAGAGGGTGATGGGGACGATGGGAGGGTGAGGAGCGTGAAGGAGATGATGCAAGGATGAGAAGAAAGAAGGGGGATGAGGAGGGAGAAGGGGACGATGAGAGGATGAGGAAACTGAAGATCACAATGAGAGGATGAGGAGGGAGAAGTGGATAATGGGAGGATGAGGAGAGAGAAGGGGGCAATGCAAGGATGAGGAAAGTGAAGGGGACAGTGAGAGGTTGAGGAGAAAGAAGAAGATGAGGACAGCAAAGGGGACAATGAAAGGATGAGGAGAGTGAAGGTGACAATGAGAGGATGAGGAGAAAGAAGGGGATGAAGAGAGTGAAGGGAAGGATGAGAGGATGAGGAGAGTGTAGGGTAAGATGAAAGGATGGGTAAAGTGAAGTGGACAATGACAGGATGAAGAGAGAGAAGGGGACGATCAGAGGATGAGAGAGTGGGAGGGCGATGACAGGATGAGGAGAAAGAAAGGGAAGATGAGAGGATGAGGAGGGAGAAGTGGACGATGAGAGAAAGGAGGGCGAAGTGGACGATGAAAGGGCGAGGGGAGTGAGGATGATGAGAGGATTAGGAGAGTCGAGCGGATGGGGAGGGTGAAAGGGAGGATGAGAGGATGAGGAGAGAGAAGTGGATGATGAGAGAATGAAGAGATTAACGGGAACGATGAGACAATGAGGAGAGTGAAGGGGACGATCAGAGGATGAGAAGAGTGGGAGGGTGATGACAGGATGAGGAGAAAGAAAGGGAAGATGAGAGGATGAGGAGGGAGAAGTGATGAAAGGGCGAGGGGAGTGAAGGAGACGATGAGATGATGAGGAAAGTCAAACAGATGATGAGAAGATGAAGAGAGTGAAGGGGGCAAAGAGGAAAGGTAAGGGGGCAAAGAGAGGATGAGGAGAGAGAAGTGGACGATGAGAGGATGAGGAGAGCGAAGGGAGTGAAGTAGACTGGAGCGTAGTTACTTCTACCAAGCTGAATTTACACGAGCTCCATCTTGGGAAAAAAACAGCACAATCCTCCGAGCGAGCCTCCTAAAAAAAACTGTCTTTTGCAACATCTAACTTCATGTCCTCACAAAACCTGTTCAGTTTGGAAAGTAATTCAGGCCACTCTCAAAACAGAAGTGCCCAAAACATATTTTCAATCTGTCTCGTGACATCTGGAGGTGACACAGTAATCATCTCTCCAGTTATTTTACCGCTCCAAATGCAACCCCTCATTTCGTCTGGCTGTTTCTGCGCGCACAAAACACAGCAAAAGTACTCCTCTGTGCTGATTGCATAATGGGACTCAATCTGACTGAAAACAACCAAACACTTTGCTTTAAAGGACACATATATTAGGCGAAATTAACTTTTTGGAGCGTTTAATCACATTGTACTCTTGTTCCCTCGTGAAAAGACAAAAAAAAAAAAAAAACAAAGCAAAACAAAAATTAAAAACTGAATTGCGTTTTGTTCCTTTCCTGATTGTTTCATTAAACCATTAAAGATCCAATATTATGCAAAGTTGACTCAAAAACCTGGAGTTGTGTTTAGTTTTTTTTTTGTTTTGTTTGAGTCACACATGAAAACAGGACACGCCTTTTCCACTTTGTGATGTCATGTGGTAATACAGGAAGTGCTCCACTGCGTTTTTAAACTCCATGCATCTTCACTATTATCATTTGGATCATTTTATTCCTAGAACAGCTAATTCCTGTTAAAATAAAGACAAAAATGTAGCTGTTAAGTTATAAACTATCACTTCATGACATACAATTTGGAACAGAACATTTTGAGCTTTGGGGATGTAGACCAGTGTTTCTCAAACTTTTTTTTTTTTTTTTTTCTGCCAACTCAAATTTTAAAAGTCACAATTCTTCGCGACCAAAGTCAATAGACATTATTCATAAATCACAAAATAAAGGTGGATTTGAGCATTAGTGAACATTTATAAGGATATTTTATTGTTGACTGAGCGATCGTGTCTCTGAACATTTAGTATTACTCAAGTTTTAAACAATGAAAAACACCAATCAGTGTTTCCCGCAGAAAATTGTTTAGGCAAAGCGGTGCTGTTGAAGAAGTGAGGAGTGAGGGGGTTGCATGGAGAATATTGCAGATCTACATGCAGATCGTGACAAGGCGACCCCCCAAAAAATCTCTTGCGACCCACCTAAGGGTCACAACGTGGTCTTTGGGAAACAATGATGTCGACATAATAATAAGACATGTGTACATCATTAGACATAATAATAAGAAAGGATAATAATAAAGGATTACTCAGACATGCATGGATGAAAGAAAACACATCTCCAGGTTTGTTTTTGAGGAGGAACCAACATGTTAACATGAGTTAAATAGGACCTTTAAATTAGAAAATGTGAAATATTAATCTCGGGGTGACATAAGACAGCCAGGCTGACGCCACCTAGTGCTTCCACTCAATTCTATTTCTCTCCAGTGACTGGGTCCGGAATCAGAACACACTAGACCAGGGGTGTCACACTCATTTTGGTCCAGGGGCCGTATCCAAACTATTTTGATCCCAAAGGGGCCGGATTCAAAAACCATGGCATATAAACCCCAAAAACAGCAATAAGTTCAAATATTTGTGCACAGAAATGTAAATCTATTACAGAAATCTTTTTTAACTGATGAACTCTTTCTTTTACAAAAATATTATTATGAACAAACTGAAACTTTAAGAAAAAAAATGCAATTTCAACACAATGTTTTAACATTAACTTCTATACATTTCATAGAATTTAGTCATGCTTTCATTTTAGTCATGCTTTCATTTTGCTCCTGAAACTTGTCTTTTAGCCTACACAAGTGCATCAATATCAGACACCATGTCCTGAGTAGCTGCTGTCTTCAGAATGTCATTCAAGAGTTTGTGTGTTGTGTTTTAGCTTTGAGCGCAGCTTTGTTTTATTAATGTTCATTACTGAGAAAACCTGCTCACAAAGGTAGTAACTGTAAATCTATTATTACTAGTTGCATGTCTGTGGGCACATCAGAGGTTTCGACTGTGAACAGTGTGCAAAAAAGTGCAACTACTGTCTTCAGGTTTTAAAATATAATTAAAATATTTTAGTAGAAAATCAACCAAGGGCCAGATTAAAGGTCTTGGAGGGCCGGATCTGGCCCCCGGGCCGTATGTTTGACAGCCCTGCACTAGGCGGTTTGCCAGAACCCCAGAAGTGCGAGTTCGGGCACCAGCCAATCAGCAAAGAGTCATACATTCTGTCTTGGCAACGATTCCTGAGATTGAGGATTTAGAGTCGGAACAAAGAGAATGTTTGGTGAATTTTATCAAGGGGAAATTTGTTATTGTCCTTCTTCCTGTGGGATTTGGGAAAAGCTTCATATACCAGTTTGCCCAGTTAGCGGCGCATTACATATGTCACGACCAAATAGCAGTGACTGGTTAAATTTTTAAAAAGTACCCGCCTACTGTTGAGCGAAAGAATACTAATGCTGTGAGGTCAGACAGTTTCCACGACGTTAAACCGTCTGATGAATCAGGCTAACCAGAAGCATGTTTAAAAGTGAATTAAAGACACAAGAATCCATACTATGTGTTCTTATAAGCATTTTGTATTGTTTTCTTTAGATGTACACTGCAGGTCAAGAGTTGGAGAACCCCACACTTTTTCCGGTTTTTCATTGTGTCATTGCTCTGAAATGAAAGCACAGAACAAATAAGCAGTTTGAAAAAGAAATCATGGAATCAATTTAAAGACCAAAACGTATTCTAAACTTTTGATTGATGAAAGTGTCCACCTTTGGCAGATATAACAGCTGAACACACTCGTGGCTCGTTCTTTTTACAATAGAAATCAAATATTCTTCGGAAAGTTCTTCGTCTTCTTTAGGTTTCTTGGCTTTCAATCTTCTGTCCAGTTCATCCCAAACCAGCTCGACGGGCTTTAAGTCTGGACACTGTGCTGGACACTTCATATTTTCAAGCTTATTGTCTTGTTCTTTTTTCCTGAGGTAGTTTTGGCCGAGCTTGTGTTTTGCATCTTTTATCTTTTTTCTTTACTTCTGTCTGTTCAGTATTTACCTTTGTACCATTTCAAGCTCTTCATTGGACTTGCACGACTTGAATTGCAATAAATAAATGTGAAATAAATGTGAATAAATGAAAAATGTGGGTGTTCTAAAACTTTTGACCGCGTGTAATTTGATTAATGTCATAACAGGTTTTAAAATTTTCTTTTTGTTCTGTTTTGCAGGGATCTGACCGGCATCAACGAACGGAATACAATGTCCATTTTGAAAACACTCTTTGTTATTATTCCAATCTGATCTTCATAATTTCAAAAAAAAAAAAGAGTTGGACATTTTCTCCAAAGGATACAATGACGACCAACCAGCTTCTGTTCCTGCTCCTCCTGCTTCTGATTTGCATCCCGTATCCTGGCGCCGCCCTACCGTTCAACCCGGGGAATAATATTGGGAATCTTTTTGGGATCTCTGACAATGAGAAAATCCTGCACCGCTCCAAACGAGGCTGGATGTGGAACCAGTTTTTCCTGCTGGAGGAGTACGGCGGGAATGACCATCAGTACGTCGGAAAGGTAGGTCACGGGGTTCACGGAGCTGTTTAATGCATCTCACGTTATAACGAGACTTTAGGCTGAAATTGGATCGAATACCAGCTCAGAAATCGATGATAAACTTACAGAAAAGTGTTGTAAATGCTGATTTTTGACCTAGATTATTATCAACTTTAACTTTAACAACTTGCAGTGTTGGGAAGTTTACTTTTCAAATGTATTCCCCTACAGATTACAGATTACATGCACCAAAATGTAGTTTGTAACGGAATCTATTAAATTACTTAAAGTGAGTAATGTAATTTGAATACTTTGGATTACCTGTAGAGAAGCAAAGACTAGAATATCTTCACATAAGATGTTTTGTCTGCTAAAAGACAATAAAAAGCCCCAGACTTTACTTAACCAAATTAAAAAGAGGAGACACGGTCCACGCAGCATGGTTTAGTTCTGTTAAATCCTGTTTGAGACATAGTTTAGACCTGGTTTTAGTCCTGGTTAAGTCCTGATTTAGATCTGGTTTAGTCTTGGTTTAGTCCTGGTTTAGACCTGGTTTTAGTCCTGGTTTAGGATCTGGTTTTAGACCTGGTTTTGACCTGGTTTTAGTCCTGGTTTAGTCCTAGTTTAGACCTTGTTTAGACCTTGTTTAGACCTTGTTTAGACCTAGTTTAGACCTGGTTTAGACCTTGTTTAGACCTGGTTTAGACTTGGTTTAGACCTGGGTTTAGACCTGGTTTAGACCTGGTTTGGATTAGACCTGGTTTAGTGTCTGGCAATGAGTGGAATTACCAAAAAAAAAAAAAAAAAAAAGGGGATATAGCCCAAAATGTGAAAACAGGAAAATCCCTCTGTGTAATCCATTTATTTCAACCAAGTAACTGTAATCCAATTACCACTCACTGAAACAGTAACTGTAACTGAATACAGTTACTCATAATTTGTACTCTGATTACGTAACTCCGGCACATGTAATCTGTTACTCCCCAACACTGACAACTTGTAACTTCACTCTTGGACAGTTTGCCACCTTTTTGTCCACTGGAAAAAAACAAAAAACAAAACAATATCTAGTTAAATTGTTCCCTCATGAAAAAAAACATACCTTATAAAAAACAATCTAGGTAAGTTAAAATGACTTAAATTCATATGTTTTTACTTTATTTGAGTCGATTCAACTTGAAGTAAAATTATTTACCAATCAAATAAGTGTATTTTTCTTAATTCAAGCAATATTCGATTTTGTTTCTTATTTTAAGTTCAAAAACGTTTTTTTTTTTTTCTTATTTTAAGTGTAGCAAAGATGTATTTTCATATTTTTAGAACTAAAAGTCTTGTTCCACTTGCAGATAATTTTACTTGTCAAGTGAAATTTACTCAAATCATTTTAAAACTTTCTTAATTCAAGTCATCTGAACTTGGATAGATTTAGTTTTTTGGCTGTGAGATGTTACTGCTTTGCCTGGAAAATCCACAGTATGGCTTTAAATTTGCCTCTCTCTGCGGACTTAAACTGGGGATGCAGTCAAGTCGAGTTACAGGTCAGATCTGCAGAGAGGAGAGCTCACATACTAGTACAAAATACGGACCATGAAAGCAATTGTGTTCTATTTTCTTAATTCAGAGCAGAACATATTCAGAATTTTATGTACTTTCCAACAAGGTCAGCCCAACATCTTTTTATTTTATGAGGATATTAAAGCTAAATTGAATAAATTACTTTCATTTTACTTTACAAGGCGGAACGTCACGCTTCGCTGCAACTGGTTAGACGCAAATGTCACTCACTCACAGCCTGATGAAGAGGACGGTCCAGAATTTTGACATAAGACCTCATTTCCTCGTGAGCCAGAGTATTATATCCAGTCCTTGTATTTGCGGAGGTCGCTGGTGCTAGACTAGTGCATGTCAATGGTCATAGTTCTCCTGCCACTAAAAACAGTCTTACCCACTCCACAAAACACCTGAAGAAACTCTATTATTACACCAGACTGTCGATGTGAATGTCTGTGTCGATAGAGTAATTTTAGAAGTAAAACCAACCTTGTATTTGAAGGATTTATGTCTGAGCAGCGGCAGTGAGTTGTACGGACGGATATATGAGAAAAATAGTCTCTCAACATCCGACGATTCATGCGATGTAAGTCCTGAGGTCCTATGTCCAAAATTCTGGATTGTCTCTTTAAAGTTGACCAATCAGAAGAGCAAAAGAAAAGCAAAGGATGTCAAAAAAACATCTACAAATTTGCAGATCACAATACAATATGATTTAAAATTGTCCAACACCCAAACACTTAAAAAATGGATCTGCCAAAACCATGTACAATAGATAATCCTCCAGCTGATAAGAAAATCCACAATATTGCATTAAATTGATGTCACCACATGGACGCAAATGAGTGATGCCATCAGGCCAAGTTACAGGTCAGCTCTGTGGTTAGGAGAGCTCACAATCAGTATAAAAAACTGAACAAAAAATATTTATCTGCCAAAACATGCATGATAGGGAAAATTTTCTAGCTCCAGATAAGAAATCAGTAGCACCACCTAGTGCCTCCGCTCGATTTAATTTCTCTCCAGCGACTAGGTCAGGAATCAGAATACACTAGAGGGTTCTCAAAAACAGCAGAAGTGCAAGTTTGGGCACCAGCCAATCATTCTGTGTTGGCAACGATTCCCGAGATCGAGGATTTAAAGCCAGAACAAAGTTTGGTGAATTTTACCAAGGGGAAAGACGTTATTGTCCTTCTTCCTACAGGATTTGGGAAAAGCTTAATATACCAGTTTGTCTTGTTAATGGCGCATTACATACGTCACGACCAAATAGCAGCGATTGGTTAAATAAAAAAAGTACCCGCCTACCGTCAAGCGAACAAATTCTAATGCTGCGAGGTCAGACGGTTTCCACCAAGTGAAACCGGCTGATGGATCTAGCTAAGAAATCAGTGCCTCAAATTTGAACTTCAACCAACAAACTCTTATTATTACGTGTTTTTTTTTTAGATCAGCATTAGAATTTAACAGAGGTGGGCACTTGCAAGTCGTGATTTGGACTCGAGTAAGTCTTGAGTCACTATTTTTAGGACTTGAGACATGGGACTCAACTTAGACTTGAAACTCAATGACTTGGGACTTGACTTGACTTGAGAAGACTTTCTATTCTGACTGTAATGATTCGCCTTAAGACATTTAAAAAGGAAAAAGTACAAATTAGTTTAAAATCCATATAAATTGCAAAAATCTAAGCTGTATTTGGTACTTTGTTTTAAAGACTTGCAGTGACTTGAAGCTCAAACCAGATGACTTGGACTTGATTTGGAATTATGCGCCAGTGACTCAAGACTGGACTTGGACTTGCCTGTATTTGACTTTGGACTTGAGGACAAAGACTTGAGAGTTACTTGAGACTCGCAAAACAACGACTTGATCCCACCTCTGGAATTTAACATGAATAAAATGCAAAATAAATAATCTACAGATAGTCTTGATTATAATAAACCAGAAAAATGTTTAATGTGTTTTCTTTAACGCCTCCAAAAATGCAAAATCTGCTCATAATACCTTCACAAAATTCCAAAAGTTGCGCCTTCAAACCGCTCATCCGATGGCACAGAGTTGAGTTCCGGGACATCTCCGCTTCCCCGCTCCTTTTTAGATCAGCGCTGCTCCTGTCACCGCACCTGTCCTGTCTCGCTGCCGACAGGAGCAGAGCCGAGCGCGCCGCACCCATCAGCCCCTCGGAACGAAATGAGGGGCCTGGAGACAGCCAATTTTCTCTGAAGGAAGGCGAGCTTTCATCACCCAACTCATCTGCGCCGTAAACAAGTGTCTCGGGTTGAGTAGTTGGGAGCGTGACAACTTCCCCATCCAAAAACACCTCATCCGAACATTGTTAAAAGAAAAGGAGAAATCAAAATGGATGAAAAGACTCACCCTGTCAGTCTGAAAGGCCACGCAAAAGTGACTTCTGTTGTGATGAAACAATGCTAACTTTAAAAGAAGGAATCCATTGATATGCCAGCAGTGTCACTTTTGAGTAGAGGTGTTTTTGGCACCGGATTCTGACACTAAATTCATTTGTTCTTGACTTGTTTTTATGACTTGAAGACTATTACCATATTTTCGTAGAGTAATGTAATACGTGGTAAACAGTCTGAAGAAGTCAGTGACATTTAACAAGGCATTTTAATATCATCTTGCGTTGTGTTGAGACAAAATAAAATGTCAAACTCGATTTCAATAGTAAGGGTTAAATGTTTTGATAAGTAATACTGCATATAATTTGAAAATGGAATAATTATACTGTGTAAATGTTGGCGTATACTGTTTCAGATAAAGCTCAGTCTGTCCAAAAATGTTAGAAAAGGTCAAATTTTGTGACGCAAAAAAGAATCAAGTTTTTACATTAGTTCTAGTTTCGACTGGTGTGATTTTCAGTATTTTCAAAAAACCCAATTCTACCTTCAATCTGCAGTGTCAAAAATCGTACCAAATGATGCTTGAAACGCGTTGATGCGCAGTGAAATCCATCAAAAGTTCAGATTTTTTTGGGTTGTCAGCGCTCAAGGTGCCCGGCTTCAGATGCAGAAATGGGAAAAATTGGACTTGCCTATGTGTGCGTCGTCAATAGAGTTTGCACGTAAACCCAACGCCCCTGATGCCATGGTCTGAATGCACTTTAATATCTTTTTCATAGATTTGTGTTATTGTTTTGACACACACACAGTGGGAAGAGAAAACAAGAACTATTACTCAAGTAAGAGTACTGTTAAACTTTGAAATATATTACTCAAAAAGGAGTAAAAGTATAGCCAGGCTGGTGTCACCTAGTGCCTCCGCTCAGTTACATTTCTCTCCAGCGATACCAGCGTAAGGAATCGGAATACACTAGACGGTTCGCAAAAACCCCAGAAGTGCGAGATCAGGTACCAGTCAATCAGCAAAGAGCCAGACATTCTGTGTTGGCAACGATTCACGAGATCGAGGATTTAAAGCCAAAACAAAGAGAATGTTTGGTGAATTTT